CAGAGAACATAACTTTGGACCACTCAGCAGCAGTCCCAGGCGAGACGCTTCTGATACTGTCTCTGTCATTTGTGGCTTGATACAAGGAATGCGACAGCTGAAACCCATGTCTTGCATAAGTCTGTGCGTGGTGGTTCTTGAAGCACTGACTCCAGCTGCAGTCCACTCTTTGTGAATCTCGCTTACCACATTTTGGAATGGGTTTTGTTTCACCATCCTCTCCAGGATGAGGTTATCCCTTTATTACTTGTACACTTTTTTCTACCACATCTTTTCCTTCCCTTCACCTCTTCATTAATGTGCTTGAACACAGAGCTCTGTGAACAGCCAGCCTTTTTAGCGAATACCTTTTGTGTCTTGTCCTCCTTGTGGAAGGTGTCAATGGCAGTATTTTGGACAACTGTCAAGTCATCAGTCTTCCCCATGATTGTGTAGCTGCAGAACTAGACTGAGACCATTTAAAGGCCTTTTCAGGTGATTTGAGTTAATTAGCTGATCAGAGTGTGGCACCAGGTGTCTTCAATATTGAACCTTTTCACAATATTCTAATTTTCTGAGATACTGAATTTGTGGTTTTCATTAGATGTCAATTATAATCATCAACATTAAAAGGAATAAACATTTGAAATATATCAGTCTGTGTGTAATGAATGAATATAATTTACAAGTTTCACTTTTTGAATGGAATTACTGAAATAAACTTTTTCAAGATATTCTAATTTTATGACCAGTAGCTGTACAACTGTTCACAGTATTGTTAGGGAATCTTATAATAAAGCGACCAGACGTTTTCGGTTTTTAATCTGTGTTTGTTTTAAAAGAAAAGAAAAATAAAATGAGCTCCATGTGCTACTTTTGTGATCAAATAAACCAACCGTAGGTTTTGTTGAAGAACTGCTCTTTGGAAGGCTGGGCCTCGTTTTGGTCGAATGAGGCTTCCTTGCCACTTTAGAGGACGTTGATGACAAAGCAGACGAAGAAGATGATTGCAACTTATTCAGCTCAGCCAGCAAAGCGGGAGCGAGTGTCTTAACCACAGTCGCTAAGTCAGACTCTCTGGACAGAGACTGGACAGCTAGAAGAAAGAAGATACAAAAACGTTGCGGTTACAAGTGTCTGAAAACAAAACGCACTCTTGAAGCTGCTTGGTAAGATAAAAGATGAACAGCAAGCAATGACGTCTCTCATTTAAGAAGTTTTTCCATTGACAAACACATTGACGACAGTTGAAACCGGCTCCTTTAAATTTCACAGCAGTAAAAACGATTCTATCACCATGAACTCTGAGAAACTTGTCTTTTTACTATGTGTCCTATTTTAAAGGTAATACGTCTACAAGTTGGCAAACCTGGTGTTTCCAGTAGTTTCTTAGCCAGTCTCTCTGAGCTTGTTGACCTTTGCTGAGTCTTATCCGTAGAGGATCGCTTTTCATGATTTCTCCTGGGCGAGGAGCGTTTGTCAATGCTTCTCCTTAGAGGCGATCGGTGCTCGTGGCTCCTCCTTGGTGGCGACCATTTCTCTTTACCGGGTAGAGATTGTCTCTCGAAACTCCTCGAACGTGAACGGTAACGGGAGGCGGTAGGCCGGCCATGCTGTGGGGAGAGGGACCGAGGCAGAGCCCTAAAGGAGATAATGATCCAATAATTTACAACTTATCCTGATTCATGCTCAATAATCCAGGCAGAACCATCTAACAAGGTTGAGTCAGGTCCTCTGGACGGATTCTTCCATCCAGAGGACCTGACCGACAAACTCGTAAAACTTTTGATTGAAAAGAAAAGTACTTCAGATGAAAAGGCTACGACAAAGTTAACATTCTGTTCCTTTGGTATTTAACAATGGGTATACGATCATTTCTGGTTTGTACGTTTCCCATGAAGTAATTGTGGTTTTACAGACCTGTGAGACTGCCTTGCTCCATATGGCGACTGTGATCTGTTGCCATGCCGGTCTCGTCTATTTTCAGAGGTACGGCGTTGATGCGGACTGCGAGAAGAGCTACTGTGCCTCTGTCTTCTATCATAGCATGGACTGCGTGAACGGGAACGACCAAACCGTTTATCCCTTCTTTCCTCTGAGCCATGTTGGCGGAGAGGACTGTGTGAGCGGGAAGGGCTGTCATGTCTGGATTTCTGGTGACGATTCTGGGCAGACGTTGAAGACGAGAGCTGGGCATTTTTACTTGGAGCGCTTAAAAGAGAGACATCGAGAAAAGCAGAGTTCAGTTACAAAAGAAGTTGAAAAGTCACAGCTGTAATGTTTTTTAAGCATATTTGACATGGACCACGCAAGAAACAATGCTGCAAGTTTAAACAATGCCACTGTTGCTTTGTCTAACCAAAGGTTAATTTGCTAACCTAGACCATGGTTAGGTTTTTTGAACTAAGCTCAATAATAATTAAAAAAAATACCCTCCACACATAAAAATACAATGAAATGCAAATATGGATGAAACAAAAACAGGAAAATCCCTTGGATGGAATCGTAGAAATGCTATTTTTTGAAGGACTGAGAGACTTACCTCGATAACACCTTCTCATCATTCCAGTTTGGGTGTCTGTGGAAAAAGTAATAAGCATAACCTTTCATATTTTTGATAAAATGTTTTTGCATAAGACAGAAACTTACAACTTGTCAACAGCATTGTTCCTTGAGACTTTATTAAAGAAATATGGGCATCTATCCCATCAATACAAAAGTCTTCACATGGCCACAGATCGCCAACGATCGTAGGACCAATGTTTGGTCTTTCTTACTTTAATCTGCAGGGGATGCTGTAGCGAGCACCTTTGCATGAAAGACGTGGCATTTGTATGCACGCCAGATCCCTTACCTGACACAACCTGAGCTCAAACATGCGGCCTCAGGAGTCAGGATTACAAGCACTGACCACTGAGCTACCACAGCCACCAATGAAGAGCGAGAAATCAATGGGAAAAAACCACAGCAGCTCTCAGAGTTGATACATTCAGATTCTATACTGGTCAAGACTGCGTAAGGACACGAACAAAACCAGTTTCAACATCTTGATTCAAGCTCAATAATCCAAGTAGAAAATCCAACAAAGTCAAGTCCCAGTGTTCCATCCCAGTGGCTCACTCATGAACTATGACATTGACCTATTCTCTCTAGCCCCGCTAGAGAAACAAAAGGTGACTAATCTGGGGGTGATAATGGACCCGTCCTTAAAACTCAACAGTCACGTAAACATGATGGTCAAATCCTGTTTTTTTCAGCTGAGACGGCTGTCTAAGCTGAAGCCTATACTCAACAAAAAGAACCTCGAGACAGTGATCCACGCCTTCATAACATCTAGGCTTGATTACTGCAATTCACTTCTGTTTGGAATCAGTCAGTCCTCCATTGCTCGTCTACAACTGGTCCAAAATGCTGCAGCCCGATTTTTAACTGGTACAGGCTATAGAGAGCACATCACGCCAGTTTTGGCCTCCCTGCACTGGCTACCCATTCACCTTCGGATCCATTTCAAAATTCTCATGTACGTTTTTAAATCACTGAACAGTTCCGCCCCATCCTATCTCACTGATCTTCTGCAGCCATATGTCCCACCGCGCTCTCTGAGGTCAGCAGACCAGATACTTCTCTCAGTCCCAGAAACCCGTCGTAAGCTCAGGGGTGACAGGGCTTTCTCTGTTGCAGGTCCACGACTGTGGAATGAGTTGCCACTGAGTGTCCGGCAGGCTCCCACACTCTCAGTCTTTAAGTCTCGCTTGAAGACCCACTTCTATTCGCTTGCCTTTAACACGGTGTGATTTGTTTTGGTCCGGTCTGTTCTCTACTCTGTTGGCCATTTTAGTTAGCTCCTGCTGCTATTTGTTTCTGTATTTCTATTTTATGTTTTCCTGTCTGCTGTGCATGTTTGTGTTCTTTTGTACAGCACTTTGGTTGGCCTTGTTGCTGTTTTAAGTGCTATATAAATAAATTGGTATGGTATGGTGTCAGGTCCTCTGGACGGTTTCTTTTTGTTGAAATGTTTCGTCTTTCATCCAAAAGACTTCATCAGTCCGAGGAGTCACAACAAACTCAGTCTTATAAATAGCACCTTCACATAGGGAGTCAACCAGTAGTTTGATGGTGATAAGATGGTTGCTGGAGTCCATCCTCTCCCCCGCCGACTCATTTGAGGCAGTCATGGCCAAAGTGGTTCAAAACTGGATATCTTTGAACCACTTTGGCCACGAGTGCCTAAAACGAGTTGGAGGACAGGGCGGACTCCCGAAACCATCTGAGCACCGTCAAACTGGTTGACCCACCATGTGAGGATGCTATTTATAAGACTGAGTTTGTTGTGACTCCTCCAACTGATACGTCTTCTGGACGAAAGACTAAATGTTTCAACAAAAAAGAAAAAAAACGTCCAGAGGACCTGACTTGACTTTGTTAGAAACCAGTTTTAACTTCATCACAAGCTCAATAAATCTCTGACTTTACTCTAAGTCCATTTCTCTGTGTATTGTTTTTTTAAAGCTATAAACAAGAAGAGGACATAATTAATGTTTTAACCAATTTTGCAAAAAGAAAAGTTGGTTTTGTAATGGTGACACCTAGTGTGAAGCTTCTATGTACGCTCAATGAATCACCACATGCTTAAAGTCAAGTCAGGGTTAGAATTTCTAAAGAGCATTTATATACAACTCCCACTCAAAGATGTTGGTTTAAAACTGTGACGTTTGAAAACAAAGTTAAAAAAGAAAAAACTCACTGTGTCAGCAGTTTGCAGTTCTCGAGATGCAAGCTGGAATTTTGGTGGAAAAGCCAATCCTATTCAAAACAAACAATGTTTAAAAAAAGGCCCGACTTTCATCGAACCAGAACATGGAACTTCCAGAAAAAATTCTGACACATTTAAACATTGTCCAACATTGTTGCTCATTGTGAATCAAGTTTAAGATATTAAACCGTTATGGACAGTTCTGCTAAAAAGAAAAACAAATGTCTGAAATGGACAGGAAAGCTTTCAAACCCACGTAGTCCAAAATGTAACAAAAACAACATTTAGAAACAGTATTTGACATCTCAAGTTAAAGGTAACAAATCTTGATCACGTATTAAAACTAATGGAATAGTAACAAAGCCGTAACAAGCTGAAAATGTCCTCTTGGAGTCAGGAAGCTCCCGATTCTGGATCTTAAGCTCTCCTCCAGGTTTTGAGTATTTTCTGTGTAGCCGAGGGTCATCCAGAGTGAGGTCAGGTTTGGATCAGGGAAAAATAAAAAACACGAACACAACAAAGAAGAAATTACAGATGAAGGTTGGATGTGTAAATCAGGGAAAAGTACAAGGAAGCTTTTCCATTTTGAAGAGTCAAAATGGAAAATGTAATCCATCCATCATCTTCCACTTGTTCTGAAGTCGGGTCTCGGGGGCAGCAGCTTGAGCAGAGAGGTCCAGACATCTCCTTCCACAGCCACCTCTTCTGGGAGGACTCCAAGGTGTTGCCAGGTCAACCGAGAGACACGGTCTCTCCAGCATGTCCTAGGTCTTCCTCGGGGTCTCCTCCCAGTCGGACATGCCTGAAGCACCTCCCTAGGGAGGTGCCCAGGAAGCATCCTTACCAGATGGCCTAACCACTCAACTGGCTCCTTTCGATGTGGAGGAGAGTGGTTCTACTCCGAGTCTCTCCTGATAACTTCTCACCCTGTCTCTAAGGGAGAGTCCAGCTACCCTGCAGAGGAAACTCATTTCAACCTCCTGGATCCAAGATCTCATTCTTTCGGCCAGAGTTCATGACCATAGGTGAGGGGAGGAACGAAGACCAACGAGTAAACGGAGAGATTTGCCTTACAGCTCAGCTCCCTCTTCACCACAATGGACCGGTACAGAGTCTGCAATACTGCAGACACTGAACTAATTCATCTTTGTCAATCTCAGGCTCCATTCTTCCCTCAATCGAGAACAAAACCCTGAGATACTTTAACTCCTCGACTTGAAGCAGAACCTCACCCTCGACCCCAAGAAAAAAAGTCTGTGTAGCTTATATTAAGAACTTAAAAACACAGTAATTAAAAACAAAACGAGCGCAATAAAAAAGGCTAGCACTGTTAAATAAAAAGGGACACCTACCAACTTTTAGTTAGAAGATGATCAAACTGAACCAACAATGATCAAGGTTAAAGTAGAACAAAGCTTAGATTTAAACACAATTTTTTTTTTTTACAGGAACTAAAGATAATCCATCAGCCAGATTCATCGGGTGTCCAGTTGGTTCCACATCATGTCCTTTGAGCCATTTGGTTCCAATCTTTAACTCAAATGAAGTCTTTTCATCATTTTACATAGTTGTGCAACAGTCACTGTGTGACAATGCCCATGATATGCCGATTAATAATCTAAAGACACAATTGCTGTTTCAAGTTGGTTGAAAACTCTGTATCCCTGCTTTAAAATGTAGACAAGTATTTAAATCAGTTCAGTTTGTCTAATGAGTTAAAGAATAATTTCCCACATTTAAAATCCACAGTCATTCATGTTTCATCAAAACGGTTTTTCCGGATGCGGAAAAAGCATTTATTTATTAACCTTTATTTAAGCAGGCAAATCCCCCTGAGATCACAGATCTCTTTTTCCAAGGGATGCCTGGGTCTGAAGACAGCCTAACAAGCTGGTCGTAAAATTTAAATACCATGTAAAAGTTTATTTATTTCAGTAATTCCATTCAAAAAGTGAAACTTGTATATTATATTCATTCATTACACACAGACTGATATATTTCAAACAAACGTCTGTTTCTTTTAATGTTGATGATTGTAACTGACAACTAACAAAAACCAAATTCAGTATCTCAGAAAATTAGAATATTGTGAAAAGGCTCCATATTGAAAACACCTGGTGCCACAGTCTAATCAGCTAATTAACTCAAAACACCTGCAAAGGCCTTTAAATGGTCTCAGTCTAGTTCTGCAGCTACACAATCATGGGGAAGACTGCTGACTTAACAGTTGTCCAAAAGATGGCCACTGACACCTTGCACAAGGAGGGCAAGACACAAAACATCATTGCTAAAGAGGCTGGCTGTTCACAGAGCTCTGTGTCCAAGCACATTAATGGAGAGGTGAAGGGAAGGAAAAGATGTGGTAGAAAAAAAGTGTGTAATAGGGATAACATCCTGGAGGATTGTGAAACAAAACCCATTCCAAATTGTGGGGGAGATTCACAAAGAGTGGACTGCAGCTGGAGTCGGTGCTTCAAGAACCACCACGCACAAACGTATGCAAGACATGGGGTTCAGCTGTCACATTCCTTGTGTCAAGACACTCTTGAACAAGAGCCAGCGTCAGAAGCGTCTCGCCTGGGACTGCTGCTGAGTGGTCCAAAGTTATGTTCTCTGATTGCAGTAAATTTTGCATTTCCTTTGGAAATCAAGGTCCCAGAGTCTGGAGGAAAAGATGAGGCACAGAATCCACGTTGCTTGAGGTCCAGTGTCACGTTTCCAGTCAGTGATGGTTTGGGGTGTCATGTCATCTGCTGGTGTTGGTCCACTGTGTTTTCTGAGGTCCAAGGTCAACACAGCCGTCTACCAGAAAGTTTTAGAGACTTCATGCTTCATGCTTCTGACCAACAATTCAGAAGAGCTGAAGGCCACTATCAGAGCAACCTGGACTCTCATAACACCTGAGCAGTGCCACAGACTCCATGCCACGCCGCATTACTGCAGTAATCCAGGCAAAAGGAGCCCCAAGTATTGAGCGATGTACATGCTCACTTTTCAGTTGGCTAACATTTCTAAAAATCCTTTTTTTAATTGGTCTTAAGTAATTTTCTAATTTTCTGAGCTATTGAATTTTCATTAGTTGTCAGTTATAATCATCAACCTTAAAAGAAATAAACATTTGAAATATATCAGTCTGTGTGTAATGAATGAATATAATGGAATGAACGGAATAACTGAAATAAATCAACTTTTTCAGGATATTCTAATTTTAAGACTAGTAGCTTTCTTTTTAGACTGTGGGTGGAAACCAGAGGACCTGGAGAAATTCAGTGCAAACAGAACATGCAAACTCCACACTGAAGAATACCAGGCCTAACCCAGGGCTTAAACCCATGACCTTCTTGCTGTGAGACAATAGTATTAACCACTTTTACACTGTCCTGACCAAGTTTATCTTAAAAAATTAAATGGCTAAAAGTGTTAAAAATTAATAACATGCTGGAATTATACAAGACAAAAACAAAATGCATTTTTATTCTACAACGAAGAGCACAAAAATTGTCCAGTTGTCCATTGTCTCCCACTATTGGGGAGTGGTGGCGCAGAGGTTAGAGAAGGTGGGCCTGTGATCGGAAGATCGCCGGTTCAAGCCCCGGTACCGACAACATCAAAAATGTGGGTGGGGTAGGCAAAGCACCCACAACTGCTCCCACCCCCATTCGTCCCACTCTGGGCCCATGAGCAAGGCCCTTAACCTCCACCTGCTTCCTAAACAGGTCTCTCTTGAAAATGAGTTCTCGTGGCTCAATGAGACTACCTGGACAAATAAAGGCTAAATGGAAAAAAAAACCTTCCAATGTCCTAAATGTAGTGAGAACAAAGTGCAGTTTTACACTCACCTTCATCGCGGCACATGCTTTGTTACAAAGACAACAGGTATGTGGAAATGTCTGGGGTGTCATCGCAGCGTAGTCTTGCATCGTTGCTGGTGTCAGCTTAAGACTGGACCTCCTCGTCTTTGCTGGAAACTGCATCTTGGAAGGTGGCACCAACGTACGAGGTGTAGTATAATACAGGCTTGGAATTGGCTGAGGAGGATGAATAGGGATGACCGAAAGTAGAGGTACTGGTTGTGAAGCAGGAAAACCTCTAGGCTGCAAAGGTTGCTGCTGCCTCTGCTGCGACTTCTGCTGCTGCTGCGACTTCTGCTGCTGCTGCGGCTTCTGCTGCTGCTGTCTCTGCTGTTGCTGCGGCTTCTGCTGTCTCTGCTGCTGCTGTCTCTGCTGTTGCTGCGGCTTCTGCTGTCTCTGCTGCTGCTGCGGCTGCCTCTGCTGCGGCTGTCTCTGCTGCCTCTGCTGCGGCGGCTGCTGTCTCTGCTGCGGTGGCTGCTGTCTCTGCTGCTGCGGCGGCGGCTGCTGTCTCTGCTGCTGCTGCGGCGGCTGCTGTCTCTGC